CCAGTCTGAAGCATCTGTTAGCAGCAGCGTCACTGGATCCGTCTCATTCTGAATTGCCAGCTCTAGAGCTGTTGCAAGGGGCTGCCATATGTCATACTTGAAGTTAACCCTACTCTTCAGTTCCACCACCAACACTGCCTTGCCACCTGTGTTAATTGCATCCACCAGGTCAAAATCCTCTTCATACTTCACTTGAGGGGGGACACGGAGGAGGACAAACTCAGAACGACCTGCATTACATCCCAGGGGTAAAATGATGTATGATAAGCTTGTTAGCAGCTTACTATGGATAAAACATGCCAATAACCAGAGGGTTTCCTAGCCCCTGTCTGACAGGGGTAACAGGGTGCATGCAAAGGAATCAAAACATGTTATTCCGTTAACAAAAATAAAGCTTGTGCCACTGAGGTTATGTGTAGGATTGACAGCAGGACACCGTGTGATTAGAGCATGAGCACTTAAGGTTGACCTCCTGCTTAGGGTTTAGCATGCTCTGGGCTTGTGCCTGGTGATGTGGAGGAGGGCCCTCATTCCATTAACCATGAGTACTAGAACAGTTGCAGCTTTTGTTTTATACTGCTTGTTAAAACTGGTCCCAAACAGGTCTAATTTTTCAGGAATATCAGTTGCTATTCTGTGCTAGGATATGGGTTCCTAGCATTAAAGCTACTGCAGGTTCTGAGCTGCTGCTTCCTTCTGCAAGCTCTGACATCATTGTGGGTATCTGGTGAAGCAGCTGGCCGCGTATTATTAGGTTTGGCTACGGAAGGATTGAAGGAACTGTAGATATAGCTGATTGCTGCCATATTGGACTGGGGTGAAGTGCGAATGCGTCTGTTTGGAAGGCGAAGGGGGCTACGGCTTGTTGAAAAGGAACAGAGGGAGACGAATGCGCGATGTAAGTACTTGGACTAAGAGATGTGGTGGAGTAGTGCTGTGCGCGTGAGACCGACAGGAAGTATGAGGTATCGGTGCCCAACCGAAAGAGGAAGTGCTGACCACGGAAAAGAACCTTGCTTTCGTGTGTATAGTACAGCCCGCCTATATGCATCAAAATGCGAGGGGGGGAGGGGGGTTTCTCGCCAGGCCTAGCTCTGAACGCCAAAACGCATCTGTTTTGTTCCCTGCGTGATGTAACACTCCGCTTCACGAGGTCACACGTGTTTGCATTGCTATTTGCTATCTGCTACCCAGGCAGGCAATTACCTATTGTGCATGAGCGCGTTGCGAATCACACCTGGGACGGCGGCAACGTGCAGCAATCATTGCGTGTCTCCGTGCAGCAATCATTGCGTGTCTGCATGTACCCAGGTGTAATGACCTTTTGTGGTTGTTCAGGAAACTCCGCGCCGTTACAGGACTCCATTCCGGATGCACAAACGCCAGCACCGTGGTTGCCGGAGTGCCTGTGAGGTCCATACGCGCGTGTGAGGTCCATACTTTACATGCCTGTTTTTTGTTGCCTTGTCGCCATGCCTCTCATCAAACGATGAGAGCAAGCGAAGTTCCTTATCTTTTCATTATTATATCTAAATTTCAGCAGCTCATCAGTTAAAGCAACCCTTTTTTTCCCCGACTGTCCCTATCTATTATTGTTTTATTGTTGAAGTATTGTATTATTTTCTCCAAGCAGCCGGTATTAAAGCAGCTCAATGATTCTGTGCACTCCTGCATGCCAAATGACCTGCAGACGCGCCCGCTCGACTTCACGCTGCTTCACGCTGTGGCGTTTCGCAGTAGCGGGGGCATCCCGCTGGCATCCTGCTGGGTCCGCACAGCAGCCAAACCGGCGTCCGTCAAAGCCCGCCCGCGATTTTCCACACACACAATGTTTATCCCACCAACTCCTGGCTCTTGAAAAGGTCAGACCCTTTGTTGCGCGGCTCGCCAATGGGCTTCACATTTTGGGCATGATATTAAGCCGCTTCAGCTCCCGATAGAATTTCGCCCGCCCGCGAATTTTACGAACATACGTGTCAAGCCCGCGTTCTCTGCTTTCGAGAGCTGACCTTTGCGCGGCCGGCCGTGGCCTTCGCATTTTGGAGTTGAACGGAGTTTTTATTCGGCAGTCGTACCTGCATTTCGTTTGTTATTCGGCAGTCGTACCTGCATTTCGTTGGAGCGAGAGCTGCTTAAAGAACTTCATAGCACTCATTTGGCACTATAACAGAGATTCAGAAAAATTGATAGATCACTTTACTTGGGTACAAATGGTCTGCACAATCCGGGTCAGGATAGTTGAGAGAGGCATGCAAGACGAAATTGTTGGGTAATGCCCTCCGCTATCACTGGCCGATACAACTATCCCACTGCCACCTATTGCTCTGAATACCAATGATCAATCAATATATTTGAATAAACTGAAGGTT